CAAAAGCCAGGCAAACACTCCTGCTTTGGGGTCGAAACATACCTTTTCGGGAAAGGCAGAAATTGTGAGTAAAAGGGAAGCAAATAGGAATAATAGCAGCCTTTTTGGGGAACAGGGAGCACCCCAAAAGCCAGGCAAACTCTCCTGCTTTAGGGTCAAAACGTATCTTTTGGGGCAAGGCAAAAGCAGTGAGTAAAAGGGAAGTAAATAGGAATATCACCAGCCTTTTTGGGGAACAAGAAGAACTCCAAAAGCCAGGCAAACACTCCTGCTTTGAGGTCCAAAGATATCTTTTGGGGCAAGGCAGAAACGGTTAATAAAAGGGAAGCAAATAGGAATATCACCAGCCATTTTGGGGAACAAGGAGAACCCCGAACATCAGGTAAACACTCCTGCTTTGGGGTCCAAACATATCTTTTGGGGCAAGGCAGAAATGGCGGATAAAAGGGAAGCAAATAGGAATATTGTCAGGTTTTTTTGGGGGAAAAGGAGAGTCCCAGTTTCCCTGCTTTGGGGTCCTCGAGCTGTCCCTAAATTTGGGGTACAAAACATACCTTTTTGGGGAAGTAATGACAGTGGAAAAGAGGGGAAAGGATGTTTACTTCCCGTATGTTTTGGGAAGGAGACCCCCGAAAGCTCCGCACGCTTTCCTCATTCGGGGAAATGTTTGGACACCCACAAATGAGAATCCGAAGGACGATCTCCATCCTTTTTGGGGAACGAGGAGAGACCCCCAAAAGCCAGGCATACACTCCTGCTTTGGGGTCTTGCAGCAGTCCGTAGATTTTGCAAGATTTTTAGGAGGGGGGAAAAGGAATGACAATCGAAAGGTAGTTTCAAAAGGAGTATCTCCATCTGAACTCCAAACTGGGGGGTGGAAGGGGGGCTGCATCTCTGTTTATTTTCAAGCTGGTAGCCTGGTTCCCATTACATCACGTTGGGGGACGCTGGGACCCCCTTAAAGCTCCCCTCCTTCTCCGGCATCCAGTGTTTCTGGCAGCCAGGGTGGTTGGAAGATTTTGGGGAGGGGGGAACGGGAAGGGAGAAGCACCCCCAGCCCCTGGGCAAGCCGTTTGAGGGTCCGTTCTGTCGGTGGGCTGCTCCGTGATTAATGGCCGCTCCTTCCGCGAGGGTCCCAGGACACTCCTGAAAGCAAGATGTTTCCTCTCTCACCCCCCCCCCAGAAAACCCCCGACTCTGGCAAATAAATGGGTCCACCTGGAGCCCCCCTTTTGGGGGGACCCTTCATGCCTTTACACCTCTCAGAAGAATGGAGAGGCCCCTACCTAGGCCTACCTTTGCTCAAAGCAAGACGTTGCATGTTTCCAGCACGCATTTTGTGTCACTCTCTTGGCCAACTCTCTGTCTTGCTCGGGTTCTGGAAAACTACAAATCCCACTCATCCCTTCCTTTTCTTTTCTTTTTTGGCTCTTTTGTGTCATTTGCTATCTCTCCACTCTCCTAGTCATCTTTTGGGTGGGTTTTGGAGGTCTTCATTGGTATCTTACTGTTACTACTATTACTACTACTACTACTACTACTACTAATAATAATAATAATAATAATAAATAGCCTTGCATTTATCTTTGCAGCCTCCTTGGTGGTGACTAAGAATGGGATGAATCCCGAAAGGAGACGGTTCTCCTTCAAACTCAATAGGGAGAAGTCTTTGTTGGGGTCTTACTATTATTATTATTAGTAGTAGTAGTAGTAATAATAATAATAATAATAATAATAATAATAATAGCATTGCTTTTATCTTGGGATGAATCTCAAAAAGAGACAGTTCTCCTCCAGACTCAATAGGGAGAAGTCTTTGTTGGGGTCTACTATTATTATTATTAGTAGTAGTAATAATAATAATAGTAAATAGACTTGCATTTATCTTCGCAGTCTCCTTGGGGGCTACTAAGAATGGGATGAATCCCAAAAGGAGACAGTTCTCCTTCAGACTCAATAGGGAGAAGTCTTTGTTGGGGTCTTACTATTATTATTATTAGTAGTAGTAGTAGTAATAATAATAGCCTTGCATTTATCTTTGCAGCCTCCTTGGTGGTGACTAAGAATGGGATGAATCCGAAAGGAGACGGTTCTCCTTCAGACTCAATAGGGAGAAGTCTTTGTTGGGGTCTTACTTATATTATTATTATTATTAGTAGTAGTAGTAGTAGTAGTAGTAGTAATAATAATAATAATAATAATAATAATAGCATTGCTTTTATCTTGGGATGAATCCCGAATGGAGACGGTTCTTTAGACTCAAGAGGGAGAAGTCTTTGTTGGGGTCTTACTATTATTATTATTATTATTGTTAGTAGTAGTAGTAGTAATAATAGCCTTGCATTTATCTTCGCAGCCTCCTTGGTGGTGACTAAGAATTCTCCCTCAGACTCAATAGGGAGAAGTCTTTGTTGGGGTCTTACTATTATTATTATTATTAGTAGTAGTAGTAGTAGTAGTAGTAATAATAATAATAATAATAATAGCATTGCTTTTATCTTGGGATGTATCTCAAAAAGAGACGATTCTCCTCCAGACTCAAGAGGGAGAAGTCTTTGTTGGGGTCAACTATTATTATTATTATTATTAGTAGTAGTAGTAGTAGTAGTAATAATAGTAAATAGACCTGCATTTATCTTCGCAGGCTCCTTGGGAGCTACTAAGAATGGGATGAATCCCAAAAGGAGACGGTTCTCCTTCAGACTCAATAGGGAGAAGTCTTTGTTGGGGTCTTACTATTAGTAGTAGTAGTAGTAGTAATAATAATAATAATAATAATAATAATAGCATTGCTTTCATCTTGGGATGAATCTCAAAAGGGGATGGTTCTCCTCTAGACTCAAGAGGGAGAAGTCTTTGTTGGGGTCTTACTATTCTTATTAGTAGTTGTAGTAGTTGTAGTAGTAATAATAATAATAATAGCAGCCTTGCATTTATCTTCGCAGCCTCCTTGGGGGTGACTAAGAATGGGATGAATCCCGAAAGGAGACGGTTCTCCTTCAGACTCAATAGGGAAAAGTTTTTGTTGGGGTCTTACTATTATTATTATTATTAGTAGTAGTAGTAGTAGTAGTAGTAATAACAATAATAATAATAATAATAATAATAATAATAATAATAATAATAATAATATAGTAATAATAGCATTGCTTTTATCTTGGGATGGATCTCAAAAGGAGATGGTTCTCCTCCAGACTCAAGAGGTAGAGGTCTTTGTTGGGTTCTTACTATGAGTATCATTATTATTATTACTACTATTATTATATAGGATATATTTTATTATATTGTATATAATATATAATTATATATTATATCAAGTTATATAATATATAATTATATATTATATCAGGTTGTGGGGAGAGGTGTGAGGAGAAAGAATTATATATTATATACAATATAATATTATAGATACGATATAATGGATTGAAGTGCTGAGCTGCTGAACTTGCTAACCGAAAGGTCACAGGTTCGAATGCGGGGAGCGGCGTGAGCTCCCGCTGTTAGCCCCAGCTTCTGCCAACCTAGCAGTTCGAAAACATGCAAAGTGAGTAGATTAATAGGTACCTCTCCGGCAGAAAGGTAACAGCGCTCCATGCAGTCATGCCAGTGGCCACATGACCTTGGAGGTGTCTATGGACAACGCCGGCTCTTCAGCTTAGCACCAACACCCAGAGTCGGACACAACAGGACTTAATGTCAGGGGAAAACCTTTACCTTTACGACTAATAATAAAATAATTTTTATTTATATACCATATCATGAGGAGAGGTGGGCAAGAAATAAAATTTATTTATTTTTATTATATTATATTATATTATTAGTATTATATTATTATTATTATTAAAATACTATATTTTTGGGTTGTTGTAGGTTTTTTCGGGCTATATGGCCATGTTGTAGAGGCATTCTCTCCTGACGTTTGGCCTGCATTTATGGCAAGTGTCCTCACAACCTCTGAGGATGCTTGCCATAGATGCAGGCGAAATGTCAGGAGAGAATGCCTCTAGACCATGGCCATACAGCCCGAAAAAACCTACAACAACCCATTGATTCCGGCCATGAAAGCCTTTGACAATACATTACTATATTTTTATTATTCTATTGGACTTGGAGGTCCATCTTCCTTGAGGTTCTAGTGTCCAACCACAGGCTTTCTTGGAGGATAGTTGTAGGTTTTTCGGGCTGCATGGCCATGTTCTAGAAGCACAACCTCTGTGGATGCTTGCCACAGATGCAGACAAAATGTCAGGAGAGAATTTATTTATTTATTTATTTACGCTATTTGTATACCGCATTTATCAGCCGTGCCCGGCGACTCAATGCGGTTTACAGTAAAAGTTGTGCACACTAACAATGTAAAGACAAACATAAACAAACGACACACATATAAACATCAACGCCTCACATAAAATCAGATTCCGTTCTCACATTCCATTGCCATTCCTTGTTCAGTTATGCCATCTTCCTGGATTTAATTGCAATTGCACAGCTATCCGAACGCCTGCTCAAAGAGCCACGTCTTAACCCTCCTCCGAAACACCAGCAACGAAGGGGCCTGCCTGATGTCCGCTGGTAGGGCATTCCATAGCCGAGGGGCCACCACCGAGAAGGCCCTGTCTCTCGTCCCCGCCAACCGCGCTTGTGATGCCGGCGGGACCGAGAGCAGGGCCTCCCCGGACGATCTTAACGTCCTCGCCGGTTCATAGGTGGAGATGCGTTCGGAGAGGTAAGTGGGGCCGGAACCGTTTAGGGCTTTAAAGGCTAAAGCCAGCACCTTGAATTGTGCCCTCTAGAATGCTTCTAGAGCATGGCCACACAGCCTGAAAAACCTACAACAGCCCAGTGATTCTGGCCATACTTCTTGGAGGACTTGGCCAACCCATTGCTTGCATAAGGCTTTGAATAGGGTCTGGGAGGAACCCCAGAGGTCATCTAGACTGACCCCCAAAATGCATTGTAGGGAGCTAGAGCGCCTAAGGGTGTGTCCGTGTCTCTTCCAGGGTTTCGGTGGACGTCTGGGCCACGCTGGCGGACTTTTGCAACCTCCTGACGGCGGTCAACCAGTCGGAAGTGTCCCTCTACAAAGACCCCGACGAAGACCTCTCCCTCCTGAGCCTGGAGGAGGACCGCCTCCTTTCGGGCTTCGTCCCGCTCTTGGTGGCCCCGCAGGAGCCCTGCTACGTGGAGAAGGCCGCGGACAAGGTCGGGACCGGGCCACGGCACCCCCCTCTCCTCTTTTCCCTCCTCTGCCCCACTCCCTCCTGCCTTCTCCTTCTTCCCCCCACTCTTTGCTCTTCTTGGGAAGCGTTTTCTGAACAAGCGGAACACGATTAAGTCATCCAGAGAAAGAGAGAAGGGTGTTAAGGGAAAATATCGACCTTTTAGCCGCTGTCATGAAACCCCCCCCCCCCCACTTCCTTTCTCTCTCTCTCTCTTTTTCGCTGGCAGGCCGCAGATACATCCGCGCCGCTCATTTCCTCCTCCCTCCGTTGTTTAAAAGGCCCCAGATTGCCTTTTTGGCAGAGAGCCCCTCGTGCCGCTGCTGCTCGGCTGCCTTCTCTCGCAGGCGCCAAACGGATCGCATCGGCGCTTCCTTGGACGCGGCACTCGAACCCAGGACACGCTCCAAGCACCCTCTCCCAGAATGCCTCTCAATACACTCCTTATTTATTTATTTATTTCTGGCCTTGGCGGACTTTTCAGTTCCATGCCACCGTCCCAGGTGAAAGCCCCCCCCCCCTTAAATAATAATAACAACAAAAACAATAACAACAAGACAAAATCGTAGTTAGTGGGGAAGGAGGGCCAGGCCTGGGCAATGCATGGCTGCAAGTCAGAGCTGGCAAACCTTGCCTAGACAATATTAGTATTTAGTATTTATTTATTTATTTATTTATTTTTATTTACTTTATTTGTATACCGCTCTTCTCAGCCCTTAGGCGACTCAGAGCGGTTTACAACAGTTTAGGTATACACAATACAAAATCATTGAGTATTTTAAAAGCAATAGCATCACAAATCAATAAACATCAATATCAATACATCACTACATCAGTATAACAAATCTATCAAGTCTCATCAATGAAATCAGAATCCAAACTCGTTATCCGATATTCCGTGTTCCGATAGTCAGTCAATCAGTCACACTGCCTAGTCGAATGCCTGTTCAAACATCCAGGTCTTTACTTTCCTCCGGAATGCCAGCAAGGAGGGGGTCAATCTAATATCTGCAGGAAGGGCGTTCCACAGCCGAGGGGCCACCACTGAGAAGGCCCTGTCTCTCGTCCCTGCCAGGCGTGCTTGTGAAGCCAGCGGGATCAAGAGCAGGGCCTCCCCAGACAATCTTAATGTCCTACCTGGTTCATAGGAGGAGACACGTATATATTTGTATTATTATTATTACTACTACTACTAGAGCTGACAAGCCTGGCCTAGATATATTATTGTTATCATCATCATCATCATCATCAGAGCTGGCAAACCTGGCCTAGACATTTATTATTATTATTATTATTATTATTATTATTATTATTAGAGCTGACAAACCTGATTTAGATTTATTATTAGTATTATTATTAGTACCATTATTATTATTATTATTATCATAATCAGAGCTGGCAAACCTGGCCTAGACAGTATTATTATTATTATTATTATTATTATTATTATTATTATGAGAGCTGACAAACCTGACTTAGATTTATTATTACTATTATTATTAGTATCATTATTATTATCATCATCAGAGCTGGCAAACCTGACCTAGATTTATTATTATTATTATTATTAGAACTGACAAACCTGACTTGGATTTATTATTAGTATTATTATTAGTATCATTATTATTATTATTATCATCATCAGAGCTGGCAAACCTGGCCTAGATATATTATTATTATTATTAGAGCTGACAAACCTGACTTAGATTTATTATTAGTATTATTATTATTATTATTATTATTATTATTATTATTATTATCCTCATCAGAGCTGACAAGCCTGGCCTAGATATATTATTGTTATCATCATCATCATCATCATCATCATCATCAGAACTGGTAAACCAGGCCTAGATTATTTATTATTATTATTATCATCATTATTATTAGAGCTGACAAATCTGACTTAGATTTATTATTAGTGTCATTATTATTATCATCATCAGAGCTGACAAGCCTGACCTAGATTTATTATTATTATTATTATTATTATTATTATTATTATTATTATTATTATTAGGGCTGGCAAACCTGTCCTAGATTTATTTTTAATATCATTATTGTTATCATCATCAGAGCTGACAAGCCTGGACTAGATTTATTATTATTATTATTATTATTATTATTATTATTATTATTATTATTTGCCGGGTGTATTTTGGAAGGGGGCCTGGGGTCCGAAAGGGTTAACGCTCCTTGCACCAAAGTGGGGTCCCTTTTTTCCCATGGTCCTGAAACCCAAAGCCTCGCACATGTTCATTTTCTTTTTAAGGCCTTTACAATAGCTCCCCCTCCCCAAAAAAAGCCAGGACCCCCCACTTTCCCCCGGGAGCCCCTCCAAACATCCAGAAACATACCGCCTGCCTGCAGCGGAGAAGTCTGTTTTCCTCATTTGTGGGTCCGGCGCTGGCCGTCGCTCTTCACCTGCACCAAACCGGGGCCTCTTTCACTTGCTTTGGGGGTCCCCCCCCATCCCCAAAGCCCCCTTTCCCCAAAGCTTTGGGCATTTGGGGCTCCCCCAAGGCGCAGGATTCGCTCCCCTCCTTTATCTGGCTTATTTATTTCGGGTTGGTAGGGAATCCCGAAGACCATCCAGTCCGAACCCCTTTCTACTATAGAGGAAGACACAATTCGATCCCTCTCAGCAGATGGCCATCCAGCCTCATGGAATAAAAGGATCCTAGAGTTGGAAGGGAACCCCAAAGGCCATCCAGTCTGAACCACATTCTGCCTTGCAAGAAGACACAAATCGATCCCTACCAACAGATGGCCATCTGGCCTCATAGAATAAAAGGATCCTAGAGTTGGAAGGGAACCCCAAAGGCCATCCAGTCTGAACCACATTCTGCCTTGCAGGAAGACACAAATCGATCCCTACCAACAGATGGCCATCTGGCCTCATAGAATAAAAGGATCCTAGAGTTGGAAGGGAACCCCAAAGGCTGTCCAGTCCTCTACTGTAGAGGATGACACAATTCGATTCCTCCAGGCAGATGGGCATCCGGTCTCATGGAATAAAGGGTTCCTAGAGTTGGAAGGGAACCCCAAAGGCCATTCAGTCTGTACTCTATCCTGTCATAGAGGAAGACACAATTCGATCCCTCCCAGCAGGTGGCCATCCAGCCTCATGGAGTAGAAGGATCCTAGTGTTGGAAGGGAACCCTAAAGGCCATTCAGTCTGCACTCTGTCCTGTCATAGAGGAAGACACAGTTCGATCCCTCCCAATAGATGGACATCCAGCCTCATGGAATAAAAGGATCGTAGAGTTGGACGGGAATCCCAAAGGCCATCCAGTCCGAACCCCATTCTGCCGTAGAGGATGACACAATTCAATCCCTCCCAGCAGATCAGGATCCTAGAGTTGGAAGGGAACCCTAAAGGCCATTCAGTCTGTACTCTATCCTGTCATAGAGGAAGACACAATTCGATCCCTCCCAGCAGGTGGCCATCCAGCTTCATGGAATAAAAGCATCCTAGTGTTGGACGGGAACCCCAAAGGCCATCCAGTCCGAACCCCATTCTGCCGTAGAGGATGACACAATTCAATCCCTCCCGGCAGATGGCCATCCAGCCTCATGGAATAAAAGGAACCTAGAGTTGGAAGGAAACCCCAAAGGCCATCCAGTCCGAACCCCATTCTGCCGTAGAGGAAGACACAATTTGATCCCACCCAGCAGATGGCCATCCAGCCTCATGGAATAGAAGGATCCTAGTGTTGGAAGGCAACTCTAAAGGCCATCCAGTCTGCACTCTATCCTGTCATAGAAGAAGGCACAATTCGATCTCTCCCAGCAGATGGCCATCCAGCCGCATGGAATAAAAGGATCCTAGAGTTGGAAGGGAACCCCAAAGGCCATCCAGTCCAAACCCCAGTCTGCCACAGAGAAAGGCACGATTCAATCCCTCCCGGCAGATCACGGAATAACGAGACCCTAGTGTTGGAAGGAAACCCCAGAGGCCATCCAGTCCAAACCCCATTCTGCTGTAGAGGAAGACACAATTTGATCCCTCCCGGCAGATGGCCATCCAGCCTCGTGGAATAAAAGCATCCTAGAGTTGGACGGGAACCCCAAAGGCCATCCAGTCCAAACCCCATTCTGCCACAGAGGAAGGCACAATTTGATCCGTCCCGACAGATGGCCATCCAGCCTCATGGCTAATAATAATAAATAATAATTACATTTGGATTTAATCTGAATGGTTTTTAATACTAATGACATTTAATAGTGTTTTAATGCCTGTAGATATGTCTTGTCAAGCCACTCTGAGCCTCCTGCAGGAGAGATAAAGTGGGGCATAATATAAATATAGGAATAAAAAAATATTAATTAATTATTAGGAATAATAAATTATTAATTTTTATTTTTACATTATTTTAAAATTATTTTTATTTTTCAAAATAAATAAATAATAGTAATAATAGTAGTAATGATTATTAAGAGATAAAGTGGGATATAATATAAATATAGGAATAAAAAATATTAATTATTAGGAATAATAAATTATTAATTTTTATTTTTAAATAATTTTTACATTTTTTTAATTTGTCAAAATAAATAAATAATAGTAATAATAGTAGTAATGACTATTAATGGGCCTCCCCCTTTGCTTTGGTTTCCAAACCATTCTTTTCCCGGGGGGGGGGCTTGCTGAAATCTTTCCCCCCTCCAAGGCTCCCTCTCCCAGGTGTTTGGACTGCATCTCCCATCCTCCCCGGGCGCCAATTAGGTGGAACGCATCGGAACGCAAGGAAGCGGCAGGAGCTTGTCTTCAGCCTCTTTGCCTCGGAGGGAGAGAGGAGAGAGGTGTCTCTGGGCTGAGCAAAGCCATAAATCTGGCTTTTTTTCGGTTTGGGGGGTACAACAACGTCTCGCACCTGACAGCCAGGGGTTTTTTTATTGCAAAGGGGGGGTCCGCAAGCGGTAATGGATGTCCGCTGGAGCCGGGGCCGGCTGCCAGCGTGGGTTGGCTGCGCTCCAGGC